AAACAATTTTTTTCACAACGGGCACACATTTTTGACCGTTGTTTTACTACTAAGACTTACGTGTACATACAAAATTTACGTAAGACGAAAAAAGTTACTTAAAAAGGATATTGTTACTTGGGTCCGAAAAAATATTTTAAGATCGAAAAAAGTAATTGTTGAAAAAACTGCTAAACGATCAGGTAGGATTTCCTTCGCAACGGATTTTTAAACTATGAAATAGCTGGAATAAGATGCGGTAAACCATTTCATTAGGCATTTTCGTTTAACTTCTTTTTGATTGAGGATAGGTGTGTTTGGTCCATTTATAAAAGCGTTGTATATTAAAAAGATTTTTTTTTAATATTATTTATTTTCTACTTTTTAGTTTGTCTGTATAAAATTTTGCAATAGATATTAAAATAATTCAACGATATTAATAGGTAGGTGCACACACATAAATTTACATATGTATGTACATTAGGGTGGTCCAAAAACAGTAAACTCGGAATTGTAATGCTCTCACCCCTTAGGATTGTTCTATATCGAAAAAAAGTATACCCCTATTTTTTATTTTGAAATCAAAAAATATTTAGAGGTCGCTCAAAGCGCTCAAACTTTTCCATGTATTTTTATATGGAAAAACCCACTTTTCGTAGAAATGGTATAGAATTCTTGAAAACTAATATTTTTCGATCGGAAAACTCTGGTTCTCTTCAGGAGACTTTCAGTAATAAGAGCCAATTGTTTATGTTTATTTAACCATTTTTTATAAATATTTTTTAATTTTGAAATAAAAAAATTGGGATATATTTTTTTTGGTATAGAACAATCCTAGGGGGTGAGAGCATAAAAATTCCGACTTTACTTTTCCACGTGTATTTTTGGACCACCCTAATGTACATACATACGAGCACCAATTAATTTCATTTAAAGAAATGGCCTGTCGTCCCTTTCCGCTGTAGCGTACGTTAGGGATGCCCAAATCAGCACACATGTGTCGCGGGCGACTGCGCGTGCAAAGCTTTGCACAGCGGGGCAGGGCAAGCGCGGAAGCATAAAGTTATCGGAAGGGGAACACGAAGTCAACAGAATAGTGAGATTGTATGTGTGACAGTGATGGAAAATGAGTGTACATTGTGCCATTTTCGGCCCTTTCGGAAGCAGCCGGCACCTTCAGCACATGATTTTCGGCACTATTTTTGCGTAACTCAATGCAAGTAATAAATATTTCTTTCGGTTCCGCAATTAAAAATATTTTTATTTTTTTTTATTTAATCGTATGTGCTTAAACTAATAAATGATATGAACATAGAAACGCAAGCAGAAGAATCTCGCTTCCACATTCTGCATACGCGCCTAACATTTTTGTTTAAACAAATTTGTCGAAATTTCATCTCTAAAGCAAATAGTAAATATCATTTAAAATATACTTTAGATTTAAATAATCATTTTAAGTGGTGGGCGAGTCCGAGATGTTTAAATGATCGAGATAGTACATTCAATTCGCGTAGATTTTTGAGAACTTTTTTTCCATACTGAAATTTGTGTACATCATTTATCATTGTCTAAGAAACACTATAAAATAAAGCTTAATTTAAAATATTGGAATAAAAAACAACAACGCTACACGCGCATTCATCCATATAACATAAAATGCGAACGTTCGTTATATGAAAGAAAGTGCGCAACACCGCAAACAGAAAAATTAAAAAAATCAATGGACAATGGAATAGACACTTCAAACTTGCACCTTATTATATTAGAATGAATGGGCTACAAAATTGTTAACCCAAAACATGTCTACAAATTCTGAACAAAAACTGTGAAAATTTGGTGAAACTTTGTTGACTTTTTTCATTCAAGTTTCGATTTATTTGCAAGGTTTTTGTTTGATAATGAGCTATAATTTTATAAAAAAAAATTAAAAAAACAATTTTAAAAAATAAAATATATATCGGGTTACCGTGTAATTTTGTCAAAGATGAAGACAATGATGATAAAACGTTAATACACTACATAGGTCAGTTCATATTAATGAACATAAAATGAGATCACTATCGATAAAATTGAAATCCTCAAG